TATTCCACTAACCTTGCAAACATGGAAGCTATGAGAAAGGAGATTGCTAGGCTCAATGAAGCCACTGAAAAAGGGTGGATAAGTGTGACCCAATCCAATGATAAGAAGGTTGATGAATCAAAAGGGCCACAATTCAAGCAAGGAAGGCATCCCTCAATCAAGCATGGGCTCGGTCACATAAAAGGAACCAAGACAAATGGAAGAAGGATAGTGAATGGCTATGAGTGTGTGCAGTTTGAGAGGAAGGGCAAAATTGGTACAAATCAGCCTACACAGACCACGGCAGTGCAGCATCCCAGAGCAGCAGTGCCGCATAGCGGCAGTGCCACGGTTAAGGGCGGCAGTGTCGCGCCCCGCAAAAATAGGAAGGCTACCAATTCTATTCTAGATCAAACTAAGCCCAAGAAGTAGGTGTACCAGGAGAAATAGGTTTTCCAGAAGCCTAAGGAATCAGTGTGGGCCACCAAGAATAAGTATGCCTATCGACCAAAGACTTATGACCTCAACAAAGCTTAACATCATGCTTTGTTTTGAGGAACAACAGCAGTGGGAAAGTGGTTGCAAAATATGTTGGAAAGGAAACCAACATATATAGGAATACTTCTATTTGGGTTCCTAAGATTTTTGTGACTAACATGCAAGGCCCCAAGTCAAATTGGGGACCTAAATCTAGCAACTAAACTTATTTTGTAGGCATACTCCTTCGGTGGATCAAGTTGGGTGTTTGATAGTGGGTGTACAAATCATATGACCAGAGAAAAGAGTATGTTCTCATCATATTCCCCGATGATGCACTCAAATGAAAATATTGTCTTTGGAGACAATTCAAAGGGGGATGTGATTTGTCTCGGTAAAGTTACTATAACCCTTGAGCATTCAATTACAAATTTATTACATGTTGTTTCGTTGAGTTACAATTTGTTGTCTATTTCTCAATTGTGTGAGATGGGCTACAATTGTCTCTTTTCGGATAAGGGTGTGGAAGTCTTTAGAAGGGAGGATTCCTCTATTGTCTTTATGGGTTAATTAAAGAACAAGCTTTACTTAGTTGATTTCAACAAAAGTAAAGCTAAGCTTGAGACTTGTTTAGTGGCAAAATCTAGCAAGGGTTGGCTTTGGCATCGCCAACTAGCCCATGTTGGGATGAGGAACTTGGCCAAACTTCTAAAAGATGAACACATCCTTGGACTAACAAATGTTCACTTTGAGAAAGATAGGATTTGTAGCGCTTGTCAAGCCAAAAAGCAAGTTGGAGCACCTCACCCACCAAAGAACATCATGACCACCAAGCAACCATTGGAGCTAATACATATAGATCTCTTTGGACCGGTCGCCTACCTAAGTATCGGGGGTAACAAATATGGTCTTGTTATTGTTGATGACTATTCCCATTTCACTTGGGTATTTTTCTTGCATGACAAGTGCCAAGTTCAAGAGAAGGTGAAGATATCTGTTAGAAGAGCTCAAAAGGAGTTCAGTCTTCCCATCAAGAAAGTGAGAAGCGAGAATGGGACCGAGTTCAAGAATACTCTAGTTGAGGAGTTTCTTGATGAAGAGGGCATCAAGCATGAGTTTTCAACTCCATACACCCCTCAACAAAATGGTGTAGTAGAGAGGAAGAATCGTACACTCATTGACATGGCAAGGACAATGCTAGATGAGTACAAGACGTCGGACATCTTTTGGTGTGACGTCGTCAACACCTCTTGTCATGCCATCAACCGCCTCTACCTACACAAGAAGTTGAAGAAAACTTCATATGAGCTTCTAACCAGTAACAAGCCTAAGGTGTCTTACTTTAGAGTATTTGGGTGCAAGTGTTTCATACTTAACAAGAAACCCAAAACCTCTAAGTTTGCACCTAAAGTTGATGAAGGTTTTCTTCTTGGTTATGGATCAAATGAGCATGCCTACCATTTCTTCAACAAAACCTCTAGGAGAGTTGAGATTGCGGAAGACATGACATTTGATGAATCTAATGGCTCTCAAGTAGAGCAAGTTGATTTAAGTGTTGTAGGAAAGGAGGATCCACCATGTGAAGCAATCAAGCAATTGGCTATTGGTGATATTAGACCACAAGAAGAAGAAGTCACTAAAGTGGAGGTTCCTCAAGTTGCTGCTGCACCAATTTCCACTGACGTACCTGATGCTACACTGCAGCAAACACCTGCTGCAACTCTAGAGCGTGGCAGTGCCACACTTGAGGGTGGCAGTGCCGAACCTACACAATTAGCAGTAGCTGATTCGACTCCAGCTCATGGACAAAACCTACAATCCATATTTGAGCAAGATGATGATGAAGATCCAGAAGATGAACAAGAGGTCATTGAGCATCCAAGGCTAAGGCAAACAATACAATGGGATTATCCCATTGATAACATCCTTGGGAGTCTTCAAAAAGGGGTAACAACTCGTTCACATTTAGCAAACTTTTGTCAATATTACTCGTTTGTTTTCTCTTTGGAGCCTCTTAAGGTAGAACAAGCACTTGGAGACCTAGATTGGGTGATGGCCATGCAAGAAGAGCTCAATAACTTCGAAAGAAACCAAGTGTGGACTTTGGTGGAACGACCCAATACCAATATCATTGGTACCAAGTGGGTCTTCCGCAACAAGCAAGATGAGAATGGAGTGGTGACAAGGAACAAGGCAAGGTTGGTTGCTCAAGGTTTCACTTAAGTAGAGGGCTTGGACTTTGAAGAAACATATGCACCAGTGGCAAGATTTGAAGCAATTCGAATGCTTCTAGCCTATGCCGCTCATCACAACTTCAAGCTATATCAAATGAATGTGAAGAGTGCATTTCTCAATGGCCCTATTCAAGAACTTGTCTATGTTGAGCAACCACCGAGCATTGAAGATCACAAGTTTCCCAACCATGTCTATAAACTCCAAAAGGCACTCTATGGGCTTAAGCAAGCACCAAGAGCATGGTATGAATGCCTTAAAGAATTCTTGGTTAAACAAGGCTTTGAAATAGGCAAAGCCGATCCTAAGCAAAGATATATTTGTGTGCCAAATATATGTCGATGACATAATATTTGGTAGTACTACTCATTCTTTTTGTGAGGAATTTAGTAGGATCATGACCAAAAGATTTGAGATGTCCATGATGGGTGAATTGAAGTTCTTCCTTGGATTTCAAATCAAGCAAGTGAAGGATGGAACTTTTATTAGCCAAACAAAGTACACCCATGATATGCTCAAGAAGTTTGACATGGTGAATGCCAAGCCTATCAAAACTCCCATGCCAACCAATGGACATCTAGATCTCAATGATGAAGGGAAAGCCATTGATACTAAGGTATATCAATCCATGATCGGCTCTCTACTTTATTTGTGCGCATCTAGGCCCGATATTATGCTTAGTGTGTGCATGTGTGCTAGATTTCAATCTAACTTGAAAGAGTGTCACTTAGTGGCCGTTAAGAGAATCTTGAGATATTTAGTACACACTCCTAACCTTGGCTTATGGTATCCTAAGGGCTCTAGGTTTGATCTACTTGGGTACTCAGATTCCGATTACGCCGGTTGCAAAGTAGATCGAAAAAGCACTTCGAGGACATGTGAATTCCTTGGACGGTCCCTAGTGTCTTGGAGTTCTAAAAAGCAAAATTATGTAGCCCTTTCCACCGCTGAGGCCGAGTATGTTGCAGGCGGTGCATGTTGTGCTCAACTACTTTGGATGAGACAAACCCCTCAAGATTTTGGATGTCACTTCACAAAAATCCCACTCTTGTGTGACAACGAAAGTGCCATAAAGTTAAACAACAATCCCGTAAGCCACTCAAGAACTAAGCACATAGACATCCGACATCATTTCTTGAGAGACCACGAAGCCAAAGGAGATATCAAAATTCACCATGTGAGCACCGAAAAGCAACTGGCCGATATCATCACTAAGCCTCTTGATGAGTCAAGATTTTATGCTTTGCGTAGTGAGCTAAATATACTTGATTCTCATAACGTGGTTTGAAATATAGCACACCTTGATTGATAAACTAGCATGGATAGGACAAATGAATTGCAAAAGTATAAATATTGTGCTTAAAATATTTTATCATAAGAAACAAGTGCATTATGATCATTATTTGTATTGATTATTTGTTGCTGATCATAGTGAGCATAAGATATGTGTCCATATCATATATATAGAGGTATTTAGTTAGTAGCTAAATCTTGCTGGTCTGGGGAGTGTGATTGTGCCGTGCCTGCCTTGCGGCATTGCCGCATGTGGACTGCGGCAGTGCCACACTTTGAATTTCAACTGGAAATTCGGCCCATGTCGCCTATGACCATGAGGGCCCATCTTTTCTACCTATTTTACCTAGCCCCAGGTAACCCTCTCCTTTCCTATCTCCCAGCCGTCGCCTCTCTTCTCCTGCATGCGCCGCCGCCGCCGCTCTGTCTAGCCGCGCTGCTACCTTTGACATTGCCGTGGCCTACTGCTCTTCTTCAATGTCATCATCAGCAGCAGCCCTAGCTCATGGATGGAGCCGATTCATCTCTTTCCTCCTCAATCCGTGTGAACCAAGATGGCCTCCGGAGGTGATGATGACCGGAGGGGGAAGAGGAAGATGACAGAGCCTCATGACAAGTAAATGCCTCATCGTGGTTGTGGCAAGACCACAGGGGGCAGCAGCAGTGCAGGAGGCAGAGATGTTGCCAGAGATAGGGAGAGGAGAGATCAGATGATCTAGGATGAGAACTTGGAGAGGCCTAGCCATATTATTCCTCTAGGTGCTTGTCCCGATACTCCACCTCATCTTGAGGAGTTTGACAGGAGCTGCATCTGAGTGTATTCTGAGGATGTTGTCATGAGACGTCCTGTTAACACACGTGCTCATTCCGTGCTCAACTATGCGAGAAAGCTGACATACTGCAATTTTCCCCTCTCCGACATATTTGCTCGTTGGTGTCGTGGTCTCCCTAGAATAGTGAAAAAACTAGTCCATCACGCGCGCCTTTGCGCGCGCCGGCGATTAAACGGAAATCAAACCATGCAGGTAACGGCGTTTATACTTTAAAATTGATGGGATGCTAAAATCTAGATTTTCCCGTCTTCCACAAATAAGGTAGGCTACAGCTATACTAATCATCCCGAGACATGAACTTTTTCAAGGTGCCCTCAATGAAGCGGCACTGAGAGGGAAAACCAAAGCTATATTAGATTAAAATATTACTTTCTCATACCATAAATATTTTGCAAACATGCCTTCATATTTAGGATAGTAAAGAAAGGACAAATGGAGGAACAGTAAAAAAATTAGCATACCTCCAAGGAAGAAGCAGCCGTTAGCGTGTGATTTTCTATTGGGTCAAGGCAGAAGCCGCCGCCATAATTGTAAAGCGCCAAGCCAGGCTAGCACCCTCCCCCATTGTACACCAGACTTCAAGATGCAGTTTAATTCTGAAGTGGCAAGACATGTCACCTCAGTTGTAAACAAACAGAATGACAAAATAAAAAGGCACATGCACACACACACAACAAAAAGACGAAAATCTGCACACGAACATCTGGGCTGAAATTTTAGACCTTTGACCACCGACGTAGCAAAATAAAAACAGTACATATAAGGATCTAGGAATTTCAAGATGGCATTTGGCATAGGCAGGTCATCTCAAAAACATTGTTGAAAGAATCGAATAGTTTTATACCTTAAAAAGTGAGGTCAAAAAAATGGGAAACTTGAAGATCAAGAAGAGTTTGTAATCAATTGAAGCCTAGGAACTTTGGAGAAGTTCTATAGAATTATATGCTGATTTTAAAGTTAGTAGTCGTATTGTATCTCATTGACTGTAAGTATGTGCCCTTTGTAATTTTCTCATTGACTGGAGCTATAAATAGTGATCTAGAATGAACACTTTTTTATATGTGAAGAAAAATAGCTGCAAGCATTACCTGTGGGGGTCGCATCTCATAACACCCGATTGCAAGGGTAAGTTGCACATTAGGTATAGAAATTACAGAAGAAACTAATGAAATGACAAGAGTAGAGCATGGAATTCATTAATCTGTTTGCATCGGGAATTTTAAAGACTGGCAAAATAGATATAGCTTCAATTTTGAAGAGTAGACTATGTAGATATAGCACTAACTTTACGTGATCCTAGCTCTGAATTTTATCATTTATTATAACAGGAAAGGTAACATGTAAGACGTGAGTAATAATTCTTTACCGCTAACGAAATAGGCATGAGAGAACTAATTACATAGCAAAAATTAGACATAGCATGACCAGACACTCAAAGAGCTTCACATATAAGCAAAAATTGTCTAGGCTTTTGTGCTTATCGATATAGAATAATTAATAGAACTAAATCGAGACATATAGAGGTTATAACCTTAAACCAGCAGTGGATGATCAGGCTGACAAAAGACGAGTTCCTTTTTCCTGTTTGTAGAGCGTTTGACGTTAACGTGTAAATATATTTTTGTATATGCAGATAGAAAATGCTCCAGCAATTAAGCCCACATATCAGATAAAAAGGGCTGTAAGGCTTACCAATATTGATGGACAGACCTTGATGGTACTTTATCTAGAAATATTTGAGAGAGAATGTAAGCAGCATTTGTTGGCCAACTATAGAACCCAAAAACATGAAAACAACTTTGCAACTGGGATCAACATGCTTTAAGCAACGCCAACAAGAATCCATCAAACCCAATCAGCTGACTTAAATTAGAAAACATGAAAGATGACCACCAGGAATCCCTCACACCATGTCAGATGACGTAATCAGAGGCATAAAAGTAAAAAAACATAAGTAATGAATGCCAAATTTTCATAGCAGGCTGAAGTAGGAAAAAATAGCAAATGACAAATGGTTAGAACATGAGACCATTAACGAATGTGGAATGCACGAGATGAATTGGCAAATGGGTAGGATAGGAGATTATTAGCAATTAGGCTTAGAACATATAGAAAGTTGGCAGAGATTCTTAAAGGCCTCAGTAATGTCTCAATCATCATTTGTTCATGAACCTGGAGCTTCAGGACATGCTAACAGCTGGGTCACTCTAAAAAAACTCCATAATATAGGTAACAGGCCATGGCTAGTACCTCATAGGCAAACGAACATCATATCGTATCCTTGAGCAATGGATACTGAATTTTCATCAGAGGCATATTGTAGGCATGTGTTTCAGGTAACAAACAGTGGCGTGTGTTAGGAGGAGAAATTTGTAAAGAAGAAAACATTAGACCATAAGCAGATACAGGTAGGAGTGACGTAGGTAGCCCATCAATATCTTACCGCATGAGCAGGTCCCTGAAATCCAAAACAAGGTACGTAAGGCTGAAGAACTGATTTAGAAAATGTACGATGCAAACTCATAGTTCTCTAATCCAAACTCTAAAAGGAAATCTACCTATGCTGACAGTCTGACTTCAGTATTATTGACGGACCCATGCAAATACAGGAGGCGAAGATATATAATTGCAAATATTTCTACCCGGATGATTTGGAGAGAGAAAACAGCTGAGGACAAAACATTTATCAGTACCAAATAAATAGCGGGGTTGTTGATGCCAGGCTAAAAAATCTATAGAATTTTTTATTAGTAACAAACAAAAAGCAGGGTCGTGGATGGTAGAAAATCATGGTACTTGATGGAACACTTTTGGTGCATAGGGACATGCAGTGACAAAGAGCATACATATATAGGAAACCAGGTAATCCCATAAAAGCAATGTATTTACTGTTTGTTCATTATACTGTATCGTAATAAAGGATTCGTCTTAGTGAATGAGAAGGGTGACAATGGGAATAACCAACTAAGTTGACATGGATGTGTCAAACTCATGAATAACAAATTAAGGTAACTTATAATATCATAACAGAAATAATTATTGGCAGCAAGAAAGATATGTAGTAATACGACATCGCTGTCTGTCCATATCAATCAATCCTAGGGAATTGAAGGAAAAAACTTACAGAGGAGTCCACTGCCACTGCAAACCATTGATGTCATAAGGTATACATATAAGTTTCTATCAATAGTTAAATACGAAAGATCTCAATAAAAAAGGAAGCAACATAATGCAAGGTAAGCAGTGATAGCAGCATATGTTTTAATATTCCTGACCCATCAGACCATGACCCCATATTCCTTTTTGATAAACAAAGATCAGGCTGAAAAAGGTGAAACAAAGATGAGCACATGTATTTCCAATGGAAAATAGAAAACATTATGCTCTACGTTCAGGTTCAAAGAGTTGAAACAAAGATGAGAACACATATTTTCGCAATGGAAAATAGAAAATATCATGATCTAGATGGCAACAGCAAGGCTGTATCTCCTCAGCTACTCTATATCTAAGATGCAACACAGGCACCTGATTAATCAAGACACACGACAATCTATGTATGACGTAAAATATGAATAGAACTTTTTTCGTGTGTCATTACAGAGCACAATCATATCCTCAGGTACTCAATATATGAGATGCAAGACCGGTAGCTGATTGATTAAGGCAGAAGACAATCATCTGGAAATAGTTTAGCAATTAATTATATTTTAATGTTGAACAGTATAACACGAGACATGGGATTAAGATCAAGTACAAAACGTAACAAAAGATAAAGGGTGCTGGGGTTCGAGATGGAGCACACTTATCTCTGAAGCTTGAACAGTTAACTGGCGCCGTAGATAAACGGAGAACAGGAACAACGCAGGAACCCTAACGAAGGTAGGGTTTCATGGAGGAGCGAAGCACGCGTGCAGAGGATGGGGAAGAGGTAGGTGAGCCGCCGGGCCCCACCCGAGTAGGAGCGCCGCCCGCAGGGGGCGTGCCCGCGCGTCGCATCCGCCGCCGCATCGGGATGGAAGGGGAGAGAGAGAGAGAGAAAGGAAGGTGAGGGAGAAACGGAGTCAGAGGCAAGGGAGGGAGGGAGGGAGGGAGGGAGGGAGGAGGAGAGCGGCCGCCGCCGCCGTAGGCCGCTGGCGCCCGGCGCCGTCGCCCCTGTCCGCGTCGGGAGAAAGACGGAGAGAGAGCGAAGAGATGGAGAGAGGAGGGGAAAGAATCTGCAAGGAGAAGCAGGAGACGCGGTATATATTTGGTTCTAGGGATTCTGAGGAGAAACAGGAGAAGCGGATGAGAAATAGGAGAAGCTAACCAGAAGTAGAAGATGCGACTACAGGTGAGAATCCACTTTAAGCGATCTTGGCCGTCAAATGCGAGATCGAACGGCCGGAGGAATTTTGAGCGACATGATGCCCTGAACATGGGCTACCGACGAGAATCCACTTCAAGCGATCTTCACCGTCAAACGCGAGATCGAACGACCTGAACATCGGCCAAACCAAACTGGCTTAATAGGAGTATATTGTAGAACCCTACACCCCTCTCCACTGCTCATGGTGCCGCCGCCACAACCAAAACAGCTGGTGCTCGCCGCAACATCTGCGGACGCGGGCGTGGCCACCTGGGACCTCCGCACCGGCGCGGAGGACATCCGCCTCCCGCCCTCGGTCGCTCGCCTCGGTCGCTGACCGCTTCCTCGCCTCCGCTCAGGCTCTTCCCGCTGGCGGTAACTCCGGGATCATCCACTTCTACTACTGGGACAAGGTAAGCACGCCCTACATAAAACCCCGAACGGCGCTCTTGAATTCCGAACCATGACCCTTAGTCGTTTCTTGGTTTCGATTGCAGCCGCAAGTGGCCGTCAAGAGCTTTCCTGCTGAGCGGATCCGCGCACTTATCGCCGATCAGGAGGGGAGCTACCTCATCGGTGGTGGCAGCAATGGCAATATGTTCCTTTGGGGGGTGAGGGCATTGTGCTTTTTTTTTGTGATGGGTTGAAACTGTTAGTATGTGTTGTTGGATGCTTGGTGTGCTGTCGTTTGAGGTTGATGTGGAATGTTTCCAGAGTTTTTGCTTGGTTATTAGTGAGCTCAAGGTGGTGTGAAGTGGATGCCCCTGGTGGTGACTAATCAAAATTGGACCAGGGACTTTATTTGTTTCCAGTTGTTTTGAAAAAGAATAGTTGGGGTTATTTAGTTCTGAAATGAAATATGTTTACAATAATCTTTGTTAGATTTCTTGCAGTAGAACATTTTTTTTCCGTGGACTTGTGTGCTGCACCGTATGGGGTGGTGAACGAATGTGTGTTTTAGGTGCTAAAATTTTGAAGGCGGTGCTTATTTTGTGTTAGTGTTCTCTTTAGCACTTAATAACCTGGCAGTTCTAGAAGCTGATTACTCTGCCATAGGTTCACAATTTGTGCGTTTCACGCTAAGGTCACTGTGACCATTAGAAAACTATGCTGTCGGCATTTCTGTATACACCAGTTTAAAGTTCCATGATCAAATGCCACCGGGTATCTTTTAATTTTTACTCATGTCCATTTAGCGCCTGAAGACTTTCCGTAACGTCATGATGTGTTTTTTTTCCCTTCCATTTTTCTACTTGAGCATTGGTGTTTTACCTTTGCTTAAACAGAAACACACTGTAATCCTCAGTTTTCTCTCAAGCTTGTGTCAATATTTGACATGTTTACTCAGGTGTATTTTCACAGGTATAATATTAGGTAACTAATTATGTCTTTCCTCTGTTTGCTGGTGTCTTATGTGCCAATGAGTTTGGTTTCTGTCTTCCCGCACTTTTCTGGTTAAATTTGAACATTGTCTAAGCTATTTATCTGACCCATCGGATTTTATGCTGGTTTATAGGTGTCTAGTGGAGAGTTTTAGCACTTTTCTGGTTAAATTTGAACATTGTCTAAGCTATTTATCTGGCCCATCGGATTTTATGCTGGTTTATAGGTGTCTAGTAAAGAGCTTCTCCACACATGGCATGCGCACTATCGTGCTGTTAGGTGCCTCGCGCTGTATGACTAGTCTCAGGATCAGAGGATGGGAGTATCCAAGTTTGGGATCTCATCACGTATGTTTGTTTTGTGTGGTAAAATTGGTCAAACTATTTTTTTTATAGTGTTCATTGGGTTTGGTTGTATTGGTTGCAGGGTGCTTGATGAGCAGTCAAGGCTGGAGGCTCAGAAACCATATTTGTATAGTTTCAGTCAGCATGCACTGCCTGTAACTGATATTGCTTGATTTCTTGGAGCAATTGCTATATCTTCTTCAGAGGATCGAACCTGCAAAGTGTGTGTGCAACACAACTCTTGTTCTTTTTTGAATTGAATGTTTTGATATGCAGTTATTTATTTGTTCTAGTTCTTGTTAGCCATTCTTATTTATATCTTAACTAGTACTAACACCGATTCCAAATGTAGGTCGTTTTAAGATCGTGTCTGGTCAAACTTTATTAACTTGGATTATAAGCATGAAAAGTTATGTAGATTGACAACATATGATTGATGTTACTATATTTATCATGGAAAAATACTTCCATAATATATATTTCGCTATATAAATGGTATATTTTAACAAACATTACAAAGGAAAAGTGTCATATTGGAGATTGTCAGTGTCCTAAACGACCTACATTTGGAATTGAAGGAAGTAGCATCTTGGGCTACATATTCTAATGGCATTTGTTCTTATCTGCAGATTTGGAGTTTATCCGAGGGTAGGATGCTAAGAAGCATTTCATTTCCTACTAGCATTGGTTCTATAGCACTAGACCCAAGAAGTCATATTTTCTATGCTGGTGGTAGAGATGGAAAAATATATGTTACTGCTATGGGTGTTGATCTCAGTTTTCATGTTAGTGACGAGTCATCTATTCTGGGCACATTGGATGACCACAGGTTTGCCTGACCTAGCTTTTCGTCTTGTTCTTGAAAATTATTGCTGTGGATTATCCCTTATCATGAAATTCCCTGAGATAATTGTTCATCACTCAAAAGAGCATGACCCGCTATATTTACCCATAGGAAGTGCATACAATATGGGCATGTTTTCAGCTCTTCAACCTTTACTTTAGACTTGAATGAATAAAAATTGATGCCATGTTCGCTTGGCTGATAAGCCATGGCTGAAAGTACTGTTGGCTGATTTGTTGTGAGAGAAAAATACTGTTTGTTAGCTGAAAAAGTACGGCTTATAAGCCAAGCGAACAGGGCATTGAATTGCTAGGACACCCATGTTGCATCTACTCTGATTGATGGGCAGAGGGATGGAGTAAGTTGCAAAAAGGAATAATGGAAATCATAGATCTTTATCTAGTGACATTACATTAAAATAATAATGATAATCCACCTTGGAACTTAGTTGGCAACATGGAAATTCTTTTCTTTCTCAATACATTAGGAATGTAGCTGGGGATCGAACAGGCGACATGTACATTCTGCACAGCCTTATGGTAACTGCATTTGCAAGGATATTATTTGCAGTGCTTCATAAAGGGGTGGTTTGGCTTAGAGTTTTCACATATTTTCTTACTGGAAATTGAATACGATTTAAAGAATTATTATATCCTGACAATAATAACTAATGATGAAATTAAATAATTAATAAACATTAATACATTTCCTTACACTTAAGTGTTACATAAATGTACAGTGTATAACACTTTAAGGGCTTGTTTAGCTCCACTCCTTGATTCTCCAGCCCCACTCCCTGATTCTTTGGAACTTGGAAGTTATTCTGTCTGATAAAATCGTTTGGCAAGCTGTGACTGTGAAGTGATTCTTGAAAGAGCGGATTAAGCTGCAATTGTCCATAGTAACCCTGATTGTCTGAACTAAAGTCTGTAATACATATCATGAATAGGCATGCATTGTTTGATACATGCTGGTTATATTTATGTGTAACCACAAATTGACTATAGAAATTCTTCACCCAAGACGCTAATAATTAATTGTTGACCCCCCAACTTGCATGGTACAATCATCATATTTCAAAGTCCAAACCGATTAGGTCCAATAGATTACAAAGTGCGCAAAAGAGAACAAAAATAATCAGACATTTTCTTACAGGGTACAGACGTCTAGCTTGCCCCTGTCAATCTTCCCAATTGTTTCATAAACTACGAAAGCCATTATTGTTCATCCTATGGAAAAAGGTAGTATATAACCACCAACAAATAAATGTATACCTGATTTACATGCTGGCAGAACAAATCAAAATTAACTAGGGCTCATCCTATGCTTTGATCAACAGAACATTAAACAAAGTTGTGTTGCCAGGGCCTTCGGTCTGGATGAGGGACGACCAGTGGCAGCCTGGAGGTCGGTGGTTCTGACCTAGAAGAAGACAACAGTGGCCTCTATGGAGAGTTGGAGACAGCCTGTGGAAGTTTGAGTTCGAACCGCAGGGAGTGGGTGCACCTGTACAGGGGTATGGTAGGGTTCTATACCGAATCTTGATTTATAGCCAGCAAATGGGGGAGGTGCGGGTGTCCTGGGAGGGACCTGGGCGCAGAGCTCCCCTGTTTGGACGGCTGGCGCCGGACCAGTCCTGCTGGCAGCGCTGCAGTTGCCCATGCGTGGAGAGAAAAGCTCGGACCCCACCGAGCGGCGCTTTGGGAGAAACGGGTGCAGGATGGGGAAGTGCGGGCCTTTTATACCCGTGGCAATTGTGGATCAATGACCTTTGACTTGGTGAGGAGGTCTATAATCAGAAGGGTGGGGAGCAGGCGTGAATCTGTGGGAGCAGTTTTTTTGGCTCCGTGGTTGGTATAGAAAAATGAGGGAGCGATTCACTAGATTCCCCTAAGAAGCTGTGCCAAATTTTGGCGTTTGGCAGAGCTGGAGTTATTCTCATGAAGAAGCTGCTCCAAGGAGTGCTGCCAAATGCACCCTAATTAACTTCAATCTAAAGGAATTCTCATCCTCTTTTTTTATTTGTTTTTCTGTTATTCGCTGCTTAGAAACTACAGATAGGCTGGATGATAGGCTTATTTTTTTTGGGTAATGATTATTCGTTGATCTGCATTGTTGTTAGCAGTGCAGGTTATTCAATGCCGTTATCTAAATAAATTTGTTTGCACTACTTTCTCTATTTAATATAGGCTGCTTCAATGTGAAATTCCTAACATTTGTGTGGTGATATCTATTAAGTTGATTCTGTTATTTCTTTTGACTGATCCAGCAAGGCAGTAACAAGCTTAGCATCAAGCAAAGATGGACTTCTACTTGTCTCTGGATCTGAGGATGGTAATGTTCAGGTGTGGGATACTAGATGTCAGCAAGTGACCCGAAAATTCAAACACTCCCAAGGTTATACTCTTATTTTATATTAAAAAGGCTATATTCGTACTGAAAACCTGCCTTGACTTTGCTGAACTTAGTGCAATATTTGAACTTAATTCTTACATTGGACACTCTTATGCGTTTAATATGTGGTTGGGTTGCGAGCCTACTCCATTGACAAGTAGAACTTTCTTCCCAGAGAAACCTAAGGATCACATATTTTCCTGGGACACTTAATAGGCAAAAAATGTTTCTTTTTGTTTTTTTTTCTGTTATTAAAGGCATTATTAAATACATTTCCTTATGTTACGTGAATGGTGATAATTTACCTAGGCTGAGTTCCGTCAATCAATCCTAAATCACTCTTAGTTCTACGGGAATTCTTTTTTTTTTAGGGAAGTTCTATGGGAAGTCTTATTATAATTGAAACATGAACTCTGGATTTCTAAAGTATGTATCCGTGAGTTTACACAGTCAACTTCCGTGACACATGGTACGATTTTTTGTTAGTAATCTTCGCCATAAGCTATATCTCTAAAGCTGAGGCTAAGACTATTGTATGGCCATGTGTTTTTTAATATATCACAATGCACCTTTTGTATATAGTTTATGAATCATGTTCTTGTTGCAGTACCACTGAGCTTTGATAGTGTAATTATTTTTCAGGTCCAGTAACCAATGTTCTGATAGTAACACCAAAACGAGTAAATCTGCCACCGCTGCAACCATTACACAAAGTTTGCTCAGCAAATGGGGAGGCTGAACGGGGGGCAGTAATTCTTCCTCGGCCTGAAAATGATGTTCCAATTCCTGGAAATAAAACCTCCATTTTTATGGAGCACTACTTGGATGAGCTTCAGGTTGGGTGATTTTGCTTTGTCTTTCATTCAGTGCCATACATCTTACAAGTTTCATTTCCATATTTCCTTCTGTTGCATCTTATGTTTTTTTTTTATATGGGGTCCAGAAGCATGGTGGTTCTTCCAGGTTATTTGATTTTAGGCTGAATGCTCAGAATGGCACTCCAAACCAACAGGGAACAGAATGGAGAGAGAGATACTTGGAGTTGCAGGATCTCTTTGTACACGAGGTCCTCCATCAGATGCCATCCTTGAGGAACCCATGATACGCATGCTATTGTCAAATAATAGTAGAGATCATTAAAAAATGGCAGAGATTTTTGTCAACACAATAACATAACCTGGAAAATCCTTTTTTTTTTTTTTGCATTTCATTTCAATTATTCTAGTCTCAATAGTTTATGGTAGCATAATCAAGTTAGCGCCAGAAGCATATTGCACTTCTATGCATGCTGTGTTTTTGTTTCAGCCATGGAGACTTTGTTTTCAACACGTTGTGTAGGATAATTTGTGGTATCAAAACAGTGATTTTTTTTCAAGTGGTGGCTGTGGGGTGTAATTGACGGTGCCTTTGGCTGGCTGCGAGGAATGTTTCAGTTTCAGATTTTTAGTAAAATCACTAGAATCGCTGCCAAAAATCACTTAACTGATTCTCGGTTTTGTACTAGTCTAGAAAAACACCAAAAACCTGGTTTCTTTTGATTCGAGTTCTAATTTCAACAACCTAGGGAGCTAGCTAAATAAAGTGATTTTGATTCTAGTTCTCAAGGGAATCTAGATTTGAAACTTTTCTATGAGAATATGGATTTGAAATGTTTTTATGAGAATTTGGAACCCTGCTAAAGTATAAAATGCTGAGATGTGGTAGAGTATAAACTGGAACAGTGAAATGGTGCAGAGATTGGCCAATTATGAAGTACAATAACCTTAAGTGCCGTTTGGTTGAGGAGCAAGAGGATAAAGCGGTCCTGAGTGAAATATTCCTCAAGATTATAGGACGAGCTTGCTCAAAAAAAAAAAAATCGAACGAGCTTATCCGGAACGGTGCTAATGCCATCTTCCTCGTGGAAAATTAAAATATTTGCCATCGTCGCCAGTTGCGATGCCATCGTCCCGAGCGAGCTCGTGCCGAACGATGGCAAAAATTCCCCTACCTCGCGAGTGGGGTTAGAGCTGGCAAGGACACGACCAGTGGCGAGCAGAGCCACCGCTGGTGCCAGCAGTTGCACGGTCTGCAGCAAGCCGGGCCGCAGCAGGGGGGTGGTGAGCGTATGGCATGGGGCACAGGCGGGCCGTAGAGACCGGCTTGGACAAGTGAGTATGGCTGGGCGGTGCCGGGCGGAGCCAGATCGCCTAACATACTGCGAAACTACAGCAGGGGGACGTACCTACGCCGGATGACGTTCGTTGGGCATCGGACGGCGCAGCAGAAATAAGCACGGAAGCTATTCGATTCTTGCCTCAGCCCATATATTAGACACAGCCCACATTTAGAAAACGCAAAACAAGTCGGAAAAGATACAGAGTGCTTCAGGCACTCGCCGCCGCCGCGCCCTGCTCGTCGTCCGTCAGCTAGCTGCTGCTGCTGCTCCCTGCTCGCGGCCTCCCCTGGCGCTGGAGCAGGCAAGCAGGTCTCAGGAAAGATCTCTCCTCCATTGCCCTCATTCTCTGCAAAGGAACGGAGTGTTCCAAGCATTCGCCACCGTTAGTGTCCGCGAAGATGGCCGCTGGCCGGTGGCTGTTGCTGCTCGTGGCCTCCCTCGGCACTGGAGCAGGCAAGCAGGTCTTCGGGAAAGTGCTCTCCTCCGTCACCCGCCTCCGCCATCCTATCCTGAGCTCGTGCCCGCACTGTCTTCCGTGTGCAGCGCAGCTGCCCTCATACCTTGTGAAGCGAACTCCAAAGACAAGTACTCCTTCGGCTCCAAATTATAACGCGTTTTGACTTTTTTTTTACATCTATTTTACTATGCATCTGGATATAATAATATGTCTAGATATATATATCAAAATAGATGAAACTAAAAAAGTCAAAGCGACTTATAATTTGGAACGAAGGGAGCAGTAGCGTTGAATTGTCACTGTGTAACTGATGTAAGTTGAAATTATGGCTCAACCTTGTTTGTGATGATTGGATAATTCTTGCCAATTTGAGACTATAATTATTGTCAATTTGATATTTCTGTGCTGTTGTGATGATTGGGTAGTTCTTGCCAATTTGAGAGTATAATTATTGTGAATTTGATACTTTAGTGCTATTGTGATGATGGTTTCGATTTGAGAACTCTGAATGGTGGAATATGTACCAGTGGTATTAGAATGCTCATTTGCAACGTAGAAAAAAAAAAAGCTAAATTATACGTACGGAACTAGAGTTTTGGCTTTCAAGATACTTACAAATTGGCAACAAAAAAACAGATTTTGTCCATCTGGGAGCATCCACTGAAATAGGATCTCAACTAAACGATTCATCCATGAGAAAAGAAGACCTTCAAGTTCAAAGAAACATAATGATGCAATTATGATGAATCATGTAAGCCATTCATGGCAAATACATTAAAAGGCACAGTATTGACGTGAGACTTACGTGTAGTTACGTGAGTAGAGAAGATCGTTCCTGCAGCAAACTGTTCCTCTACGATCGACTGGTTTCCTCGCGCTCTTTTCAGTTAACCTCGCCCCTTTTTTTCCAGCCTCGCGCTCTTTTCCGCCACTGTCGTGCTCTTTACCGTCGGTCTCGCACCCTTTTTTACTCGGACGAGGATAGGCCGCGACCCGTCGCGCAATTGGAGAGGGTGCGACCCCGTCCGACATGTGTCCGGCCCCCCACTCGTGTCCCCCCGCTCCCATCGCGCAAGTGCCTTTGGACTCCACTCCCGTCACAGTTCCTGCTGCATGTGTCCGACATCAAGGGCGCGTTTGCGACCCTGGCCCGAAGGCCCGGTTGCGCCCGTGGGCTACAAGTTGCCATGTTTGTGGTCGATGGCCCGCAAGCGAGCCTGGCTTCCCAGAGCAAAAATCGACCTCTCCGCCTGGCTCTCTGGAAACGACCGAAACCCTCGTTTCTTTGGAGCCGAGCTCGTCTGCGACGCACGCGGGCGATTTTGGGCGGCGGCGGTGTGGCTCGCGCGGGCTCTAGCGGGAAGGGGAAACGTCTTCGCGCGCGTTCCCGCTCTCCGCTCCCTCCCTACGGCGCCGGCTGCTGAAAGCGAAAATGGCGATTTCGCCGGCCTTTATATCTGTGTTCCCACTCTCCACTCTCTCCTTCTTCCACTCGGTGCTTGCTCTTCCACCTCCCTCGTGAGAGACCGGCGGTGAGTTGTGGTGCGTGGCGGCGGCGGCGACCTCCCATTTGGTTGTGGGTTAGGTCACCGGCGCCGAGGTTCTTCGCCGTGTCCCCGCTTCCGGCCTTCTTTGGGACTCCGTGGCGGCGGTGTTCCTCTTCTTCTCCGTCTGTCGATTCGCCGTCTTCTTCCCGATCTGCATCCTCTACTTCCAGATCCGCCTCCTCTCCGTTGTTTGGACCCCGAGCCAAGGTGAAATCGACCCCAATCTTCTTTTTTTTGTGGTGCTTCTTGAAGTTCTTAGGGTTTTCTTGTTCGTTGTTTGTTCATGATCCGTTAGGGTTTCATACTTGTTATAACCGCTTCATGCTCCTATTAGGGTTACTTGTACCTTCTTCGTTCTTGATCTGTTGGGATCGTGATCTCGTTAGGGTTGTTGATCTGCTTTTTGATTAGTATTGTACCTTCTTTGTTCATAATCTGTTTGATGATGCAGTTGTTAGTGTTACTTGTACCTTTGTCGTTCTTGATGTGTTAGGGATGTTGATCATTTTCGATTACTATTGCTCGAAGTTTTTGTTCCATCATTGGTCGATGATGTTGTCCAAATTTAGTACTGGGAGGCATCACATACAAGATGCAGCCGTGCTTTTGTTGGCATGCATTCATTTCACATTCATGTTGATGCCTAGCAGGGTACATTAAGCATGAAATCATGTTACATTTTTACATGCTTGTAGATGGATCTGTCTTTGAGCCGTGACATCTTTGTGTAGGAAGGCATTTTGCTTTGATTTGTTGTTATGGTTACCTTTGTATCCACTAGGTGAAAAGGAAAACCCCGAACCTAAAAAACCCCACCGCTCGATCCTATAGCACCTGCCTACGATTAGGGATGAAAATGAACAAAGATGCAGACAGAGAGAACACTGAGAATGATATACAATTCCACTGATTCAGAGTGTATTTCTATGATTAGGATGAAGAGAGTTGCTTTTTTTTAAGTTAGTGAGAACTTTTAGAGAGAGGAGTCTTATCACTGATAGGGAGGGGGTGTCAATAGAAGAGCAGGTTGCCATGATTTTACATGTTGTTGGGCACAACCAAAGATTTAGGGTTGTCCACCAGTCCTTTAGGAGGTCCATCCAAACTGTCCACAAGCACTTCCATCATGTGTTGTATGCTGTGGGTGAGCTTAGGAATGAAATGATAAAGCCAGCTAGCACTACCACTCACCCAAAGATTCTTGGAAGCCATACATGGAATCCATATTTTAAGGTAATTGTATACCCTGGGTTCATTAGTTACATTAGACCTGTTGCAATGACTGACCCATGCTTTTTAGGATGTCATTGGCTTTATAGATGGGACTCATTTCCTAGCAAGGGTTCCTAGGCGCATGCAACAAGCTTTTAGGGGTAGGAAAAAGGATCCCACCCAAAATGTGATGGTAGCTGTGAATTGTGATCTGAAATTCACTTATGTCTTGGCTGGCTGGGAGGGCTCTGCCCATGATGTAACTGTTTTGGCAGATGCTGTAGCCAGGGAAGATGGCTTGAGTTTGCCAGAAGGTAATTGCACACCAACACTAATTATATATTCCATGGCCTATTAACACACACTCTCACAGTAGATGTCTTGTGTAGGTAAAATGTTCTTAGTAGATGCTGGGTATGCATGCAAAAATGGTTTCCTACCTCCCTATAAGGGGGTTAGGTACCATTTGTC